GAGTGTTTTGTTACTATTGCTACAAAGTAGCTTGCCGCAAACATTGGCCTTGCGCATTCGCTAACATCAACATCATTACTTGCAGTCGACAAATCCAGCAGCGCCGAGTTAACAGAGTCGATCAATTCCATGTTCCAGTACTACAGACAAGCCATCGTCTGCTACGCCTATCTCGAAGACTTCCCCGAAGGCGCAGTACTCAAAGGAGGACTGTCCCAATGCCGATGGTTCACCAGAGGCTGGACGCTCCAAGAACTGCTCGCCCCAGGCATCGTCGAGTTCTACGCCCAAGGATGGAAGTTCGTCGGAACAAAACACGAGCAAGCGGCCGCCATATCCAGGTTCACAAACATACCCGAGGCGGTGTTGACGCATGCGCGGAGAGACATTATAGCCGAGCAATCCGTGTCTGCTCGCATGTCATGGGCGTCGCAGCGGCAGACGAAACGGAAAGAAGACATGGCGTACTGCCTTCTTGGTATCTTTGACGTTAACATGCCGTTGATCTACGGCGAGGGCACAAAGGCGTTCCGACGTCTGCAAGAAGAGATCATCAAGCGCGACAACGACCTCAGCATCTTCGCCTGGAACAGCATGTCGGAGAATCAGAACAACGACCTGGTCGAGATATTCGCCAGCTCACCGGCTGCTTTTGAGGATGTATTCGGCGCAGGCGCCCACAAACACCAACTGGCCGAGTTCTCCGTCACCAACCGTGGCCTCCTACTTGGCGGCGACTTTGAGATATACGGCTGGTACGGTGAGCGCGGTTATACCGGAATCCCGAAACACTACGTCCTCTTGGTCGGGGAGTCGAAAAAAGACGACAGCAGTATAGGAATCTTCCTCCGAAAATGCGGTCCCGGGCTGTTTTGCCGCATTGGCGGGTTGCCTTTGGCCAGGCTGCCGAACAAAATCATCACATACTCCGCGCGGGAGCTCATGAATTCAGTCTACCTCTCCACGGATGCCTTCCTCAAACACTCAATTACCCGCCTGGTGTCCTTCCGTCACGATGGCCTGCATATTCCCGTCCAGGAACATTTGCGAATGCGGTCGGTGGCCCCGCTGCATGCTTGGGATCATCTCGACAGGACGTTTCTGGTTCCAAAGGCCTGGGACCAGAATGTAAGCCAGTTGGTACTTGCTGCTCAGTTCAGCGTCACGATAGCGGGGTATACGGCTGAAATAGTGGTTATCTGTCCAGCTCATAAAGATAAAGCTCCGATAGTATTCCTCGCGAAAGATTATCTTCGCGAGACGAGATTCTTATTCACAGACAAAGCTGGCAAGGAGGGTATTTTCTGGGAAGACTTGGTGAAACTTTTACCCAAGCTCCCGTATCTGAACAGCGGGCATGTTTATGTCAAACCCAAGCATGCATTCAAGATTAGCGTCAGTTTGCAGACGACCACAATCGATACCGATTGTGGCCCGATCAGCGTCAGAAGCCTGACCTCGTCAGTTACATCTGTATAGAATAGACTCGATCTCAGTCAATGCCGACATAGTTAGAGCTCGCCACCAATGATGACACAACGCAGACTTGACTCCGACTGACCACCGTATGCATCTGAACAGCAACCCTGGGGAGCAAATGAGGCTCAGATGCCTGCAAGCCTGGTAGGTGCGAGAACATCTTGCATCGTCATGTTCGCGTCCAAGCCAATGACTACGATGAGCGCAATATCACTCAAGCAACGAGCCTACAAGCAACCCACATCCTGAAAGGAATACGCCACATCCGCGCATTTTACGACCCACAGTATGCGTCCGTTCTGACACCTTATACAAGAAAAAAAACTGAACAGGTCTATAGGCTACATTAAGCCGAAACCTTGCAAAGTAGATGACCTAACGTTAACGTAGGCTCTAGGCTGTTCACTTTTTTCTTAGGTTGGCGTGCTAAGGTTAATCTACTTTTTCTAGAAACGCAACTTTGTCACTTTGGCACCCCACCACTACAACCGCAATTGACTGTCAACGGCCGTTTGTACTCCTGAGACATGTCGCCCAGATATGCGCATGTTCGCGGTAGTCGGCTAGGAACTTGTATGCCTCCCCTTCCCGCCCATCGGAAGAAAGGGTTGTACAGTAATACTCGTGGCTTGATTGGTGCACGTGTTTAGAAGAGTGGAGGTAGCCCCACACCCCGCAACTCCAAGACCGGCGCTTCTCGTCACTCCCAGCAACGCTTTCTATTGCGCGCAGCTGCCTTCCAACTATGTTCCTGAAGACATTGGTTAGCATTCTTAGAGCTCACAAGCATCGTTGTAAGGTTCGGTCTCGTGTCTAGCATCCATGTGCTAATGGCGATTGGGATGCAAAGGCCCGGAGCAACTTGAGAAGAGCGCGATGGCCGGGCACGGCTACTACCCCATGCTCATCCATGTTTGATAAGCACGTACTCTGTCGCCCGTACAACACCATGTCTAATCAGTCGCGCTACAGACCGGGCCGGTGCAATGCTTATCTGGAGCAAACAAGGGGCACCGTTTCCTAATCAGCTTGCCGGCCGATAGTCTCTAGCATGCAAGAGTTCTACATAAAATAGAAGCGTATCATGAACGGGATTCAGTAAAGGTTTTGTGATGGATTACTCGCAGACTAAAGACACCAAAGACGCCAAAGTGAAGGACACGGAGCATGACGGTGGTGAGGACATCGCGATCGGATCGCAGGAAGAAGTTACCGATTACGACTTTCTGCGATCTTGGAAATGGTCGACTTTCTACCGGAGCGTGCTATTCCAGATGGTGATGTTCGGAGCGTGAGTAATCCTCCCAGAGACTACCATCCGGATGCTGAACATGATTAAGGCTCTCCTTGGTCGGCCCAGCCATGGGTGATGCTATATCCAATCTAGGAGGAGGCGGTTTGTCAACGCCATGGCTAGCGAATCTTGCAACCTCGTTGAGTTACGCCATGAGCTTCATCAGTACTATCCTCGGAGGCCCCATCATCAATAGGATCGGTATCAAATGGGCGTGCTTCATTGCGGCTCTCACGATGCCCCTCCAAGGATCTGCGTACTATGTAAATGCTAGATTCGGCGTCGACTGGTACCTCATAGCAGCCAATGTACGATCATAACTCATTCATACAAAAGAAACATACTGATGGGGCCAGGTTATCAACGGTCTAGCGGGTGGGCTTCTTTACGTCGGCGAAACGACAGCCATGTTATGCTACCCAAGGCCAGAAGAGAGGGGGTTATACCTTGGTAAGCACCTGTGTGCGACGTGAAGTATGATCATTTCACTAATCTCTGACAGGCATCTGGTCGGCTATGCGAAGCTCCGGAAGCTTGATCGGTGGCGCGATAAACTTTTCCACGAATTCGGACAGAGCCTCTGCTGGAGGCATTGCATGGGCGACATATCTGGTCTTTGTTGGATTCGGTACGTGACTGATACTAGGCATCTGCTCTGAACGCACAGTTACTAACCAATAGCAGAATGCACTGGAGTTCTTTGGGCGCTGTCACTGTCCCCCACACCCCGAGTGCGTCGCCGCGATGGCAGCAAGGTTCCCATGTCGGGGAGGGTCACTTGGAAGCAAGAATTTGTTGCTCTGTGGAGTACTCTACAAAGCAACAAGGTCTGGTTGATCTTTCTGCCCGCGTTCTATTCTTTCTTTTACGGAGGGACGATGGGTACCTATCTCTCGCTACACTTCTCGGTCCGCGCACGCGCTCTATCATCTTTTCTTCTCCGTAAGTATGAATTTTGGGAACCGCCGACTACATGCTGACCAATACAGCCGCAATCACCATTCCGTCGGTTGTCATATTTGGCAAACTTTTAGACAGCCAGCGGTGGCCCCAGCGACCCAAAGCATGGGTTGCATTCTCGCTGTGGATTCTGCCACAAACCGGTTGTTTCATCTGGGTCGCTTTCGAGTACCACTACCTCGGCAATAAAACGGCGCTGGATTACGGATCGTGAGTTATCCTACCGAGGCAGGCCCCAGTGCGACTGAGACTGACTTCAACGACAGAGAAACTGGCAGATGGGCAAGGGCATACGTGCCATACCTTATCATTTTCGTGAGCGGCTACTGGACGCAATTGACACTATACTGGATTCTCGGCACATTCTCCAACGACATGGGTGATTCGTCACGGGTGGCAGGCTTGTTTCGAGCGTTTGAGACGGCGGGCCAGGCAGTTTCCTATGGTCTGAGCTCTGCGAGTGGCATCGCTCCTGTGGTCCCGATCTATGTGAATTGTGGTTTGCTGGTTCTCACTGTGCCTAGTATGGTCATGTTGATCACTAGGATGCCCAGGAGGCCGTTGAGTAATGTCACCACCGAATGAATTGTCGTGCGGGATGGCTCTCAACAGAAGGATTGCAGACGCGTGTGACACGAGCTGGGGTTTTGGAAGCGTCGTCAGGGCATCGCCGTAGATAGCAATTATCAGATCGTTCAAAACATCCATTATGATGCAGGCTGTGCCCCTACTGCAAAGTTGCATTCTGCTAATGAACTGTTTTCCTATACCTGTTCACATCACTCCTTCTCTAGTACGCGAGCAGCCATTGCTGATGGATATTGTCCAGTAGAATTACCCGATCATCCCACATATGATGCAGCATTTTTGGTGAAAGATAAGACCGGAGGGCTTTTCCAACTCCGCAAATGCTATCACACGGATAATAGCTTCTAGACCGGATTGTGATGCTCTGAACGGGTGTTTGCTTGCTGGGCGGCAAGGTCAACTGGGTCCTTATCGGTGACCGGACCGGCGACCGGCCCGGTCGCAATTGCCTAATGATCGCCGCCTTGCGCAGCCACTCGAAGCCAAGGACCAGCGTTCTGGGCTTACGCATCCTATCTGTCTGACTAAAGTACGCAAGTTCTCGGGTTGGGTACAGTAGAAGCGAACCTGCCCTGTGAATGACTAAGCGTGAGTACCTACATAGCCCTCCTTGCACGTAGGACAATTCCGTAGAACTACCACCAATACATGCACACGGTTTACACACTACATCTCCAACATGTCTTTTCCTGGTCCCAGCGTCAAGCCTTTCCCGGTGGCGGATGCTGTCCTCTCCTATTGGAGAAAACAAGTTGGGCCCATCGACAACCATCGCAGCACTGAACAGCTTCCTACGCAGGTTGATGTTGTCATCGTTGGCGCGGGGTATGCTGGAGCATCAATCGTGCATCACATAGTCGAAGAGTGTGTGCGTCGCGACCGCCCAATACCATCAATACTTATCCTTGAGGCACGTGAGGCCTGCTCTGGCGCTACCGGACGTAACGGTACATACCATATGCCCTTGATATTCCATTTCAATGTCGCACGTACTAAATCTGAAAATCTAGGCGGTCATTTAAAACCAGACCCTTTGTCAAGAGCGGCCAGTGTACTGGAGACGCATGGGAAAGCGGTCGCCGAGCACGTGGCTACATTCGAGGCCCGCCAGATCGATGCAATCAAAGAACTTGTTCAGCGTGAAAATTGTGACTGCGACTTCGAAGAGACAAGGGTCACCGATGTCTGCTTTTATGAAGCCGGTCGCGATAAAATCCAAGCTGACATTGCGAAAATCACTAAAGCGGGTATCTCCACTGCGAAAGGGATAGATTTTACTTCAGGCAGCGAAGCAGAAGAGGTATGTAGCGTTTGGAGATAAACATCTGATCTGATTCGTTGAAATGTTTCTTTGGAGAGATCTGACCAAGCCCATAGGTTTCCGGCGTATGGGGTGCAAAGTCTTGTCATACATATAGCGCCGCTCGTCTGTGGCCCTACCGACTCGTTGCGCACTTGCTAGAGAAAGCGGTATCTATGGGTGTCAACTTGCAAACACACACCTCAGTGACATCCGTCTCGGCAGCCGATGGGTGCACAAAAGATCATCCTTGGGTCGTGAATACACCGCGCGGCTCCGTCAAGACCAGCACCGTCGTTTACGCTACGAATGGCTACACGTCTGCTCTCGTACCGGAGATGAAGGACAAAGTCGTCCCAGTGAGAGGCATAGTAGCGCGCTTGGCGGGCGAGAATGCACCAAGGATGACTGATAGCTATATGATGCGGTTTTCTGACTATGAGTACGACTACATGATTCCTCGACCGGACGGTAGCATCATCGTCGGGGGCGGAAGGCGCGACTACTACAAAGACTTGGGCGAATGGTTCGATGTATCCGACGACAGCAGACTGATGAATGGCGCGCGGCATTACTTTGACGGTTACATGCAACGGCATTTCCGCGGGTGGGAGAACAGCGGTGCACACACAGAAGAGCTTTGGACCGGTAGTAAGTGTCATGTCTGCACCAGCGCCCACGATTGAATGTTTCGGAACTGACTCATCTTCTTCCATATTAGTTATGGGCTATTCCAACGACGGGTTCCCTTATGTTGGGCCAGTTTGCGGGAAACCCGGCCAGTATATGTGCGCAGGATTCAGCGGGCACGGTATGCCGCAGATATTTTTCTGTGCAAAAGCCATCGCTTCCATGGTCATCACGGGTGACGCAGAGAATGTGGATCTCCCTGTGCCGTACCGCATCACCAGGAGTAGGTGGTACCAGCAGAAAGAACATGTGTCTCTCAAGATGTGGCAACAGATAGCGGAAAGCCAGCCTGCTCAAGCACGGTTGTGACCATGAGATAAGACGAGTTGGGACCTGAATTGTCCACTCTTGCAATGCGATGAATCATCCACTGACTTTTACGCGCACTCTGTTGGCGAAAAGAGTTGAATTGATGCGCTTCATCGCTCATACATTGGCGATTCTAGCCTGTGCAGAACGTCACTTCGGTAACCATGAAAGGCTCTCAAAGAACTCCCTCTCTGCGTTACCATGGTCACCAAAGTCTGAGGTGAAGAACGCCTCGCTTCCATCCGAGTTAAGTAGATCGAAATCGAACGGATAGCCATCAAGGGGTACATAGCTTGGCATGGTATCCACTGTTGCATCGGTTCTGTTAGGTGTTATCCTTGGGCCCTGCGCCGTTGCTGCCTGTACATTTGCATGTCCGGATGCTGGAGGCCCAAAACGAGGGACTGTGGACTTTTCTGCTTTCTTATACCAGTTAAGAAGACCGTTGTAGCCCTCTTCAGCTGCATCATTTGCTTCCGTGACCGCAGGTTGACTGGGTAATGGATTGAAAACGTGAAGTCGATGCAGCGCCGCTTCCAGTGTCTCTAGGAGCGACACTTCTGAACGCGCGGAATCGCCCGCCGAAGCCATCTCTCTGATCGCCTGAAGACCTACTTGTAGGGTGTTTGCGAACTCGTTCGTCCGGTAACATATGCTATAGGCGATCAAGACCAGCAGGGACGCGCGGCAGGAACTGTATTCGGCATATGACGACTTTGCAAGGCCCATGTCGCCCGTCTGCATGATTTGACATGTGCTGATAACTTCCTTCGCGGCCGCAACGCAGTCCTGGACCAAGAAGTCCCACTGTGAGTGGGACTCGGATGCTTTCCTCTGGCGTACTTCTGGGGATGCGGCATTGGCGTCCTTGGAATGTGCATTGGTCCGCGCGTGACGGTGCGCGAGGATAAAGGGTCGTCCGATAAACATGTGCAAGAGGCAGCACTCCAGTCGAGAGTGGATCAATGCGCGAGCTTTTGGTAGTTCTGCTTCGTGGTTCGCGGGTGGCGATAATACACCCCCGCGAGGAGGCGACCAGGGCCCTCGCAGATCCGCCTTCATGCGCTTGATACGGTCCAAAATCACCCCGACTTCAGCGTTCGCACATGTGCGGAGACACGATCTAGCAATACATAGTTAGTTAACTGGGTTCTATTTCTGTGTATTAACAAAGTCTTGGTCTAGTCTTACATTTCGTGGTGGAAGGCTTCAGCTTGCCTTGTGAGCTCGATCGACTCCAGGAGACCTTGAGCATCGAAATGGTCGTCATCAATGAGGTGTGCTTCAGATCTCTGAGGTAGATCTGCATCGATATCGGATCGTACTATGGATATCGGGCGGCCGTGGTATATACCAATTTTTCTAGTAGGTCAGACCTGTGAGTAGGAGGACAAGGTGGTATCGGAGAGTCAAGAACCAACAAACCTTTCCATGCAGTACGCTGTCCACCAAATGCGACGCCTGATTTCTTTGGTTCTCGTATCGAGGACGTTGCGCGAGACCTTTCGGTGCATTCCGTTTTGTATGGCTACCTTGATAGCCAAGTTTAAATAGATGTAACTCAGCCCAGATGCATCAATGGGTAGGGAATATAGGCCGAGAAGCAAAAGTGCCTGGACGCTGAGCAGCGAGCCAGCGTGGATGACTTCCGAGAGAAGCTTTGCTACTTGACGGTAAAAGCCGGATCCAATCTCGAGCTCCCAACTACTCTGAACTTCGGAGTCCGTTGCAACACCCGTGTTGTGAGCCTTGTGGCGATCGGGCGATTCTAAATGGACGTATTGGGTTCCGACTGCCAGCACCATCAGTACTACACATATTGCAGTAACATCTTTGGAACGTAGTGAGACTGGGTTGGTGTATATGTTGTTTAGGATGTCGTCAAACCAGCGTCGGTCTACATAGTAGTAGACGCTTGTGGCATGATTGAAGAAGACCTTAGTCAAGAATGTGGCAACCGGACGGGGTGGCACAACAGCAAGTACGTCCGAAATGGAAGTCGAGGCTGGATCTGCCTCGCCGACGCGAATGAAATCTGGTACCCGCGTTACATTCTCTGAATTCTGATAGAGATGGTGAGTAAACAGGAATAGACTAGGCTAGCAGTACGTACCTGTACATTGGCTTTGGCCATAAGATCGTCTATATTGCGTTTGATGTGCATGGAAAAGTTCCAATGAGAGAACTCGCCTGAGTAATCTGCACAGCGACAAAAGCTCTCGTCAGTGTGCCTGAGCAATCACGAGGGGGTTTACGAAGCACATACGGACTGTCGTGCCATCTACGCGGTCAATGGTACAATCCTCGTCTCCAATATCAGGGCTGTCAGACACTTGGGTATTCGCCGACAGCTCGATAGACTCGGGTACGATCGCGTTCTGGTCGCGTGGTGGAGTGGGCGAAGACAGAGAATCGCACGTGCGTTGTAAAGACACGATATCCAGGGCGAGATTGGGGAAATGGTGTTTGATTATGAATTCCATGCATCGCATGCGGTCCATCAGCTCATTGGGCGAGGCGGAAAGGCCCGGTCCTCGCTTGTCCACTGCAGCCGGTGCAACATTGTATCTACACGGTCGGCGCAGATGTCGACAGCGTCTACATGGTGTGCCATCCTCACATTTCTCTTTGAGACGGCGACACTCATCACACCTATGCGATGCTTGTCAGCCAAGACTTCACCTCGCAGTCTTCGGCGAGACAGTGGTGGGTCTTACGCGCGAACTGCTCGTTGTCGCTCTTCTGCCGCTAGATGACGCTTCTTGGTGGGTCTTGGAGGCTCGACGTCCATAGCTCGAAGTGAACAAACAAGACTAGGTATGAGCTGAAGGGACTGAGTTGGCGGAAGGTTTTGAGCATACGTCGTGAGTTCACAGCTGTCAACGACGCCCACCTACCGAAGCGCGAGCGATAAGACAGCTGAATGACGCGCAATGCAGCGACGTTGAAGCCGTCCAGCCTCCTGCAGGAACGCTCCGCACAAAGCTTGTCCGTTATCGGTTAGTAGTAAGCCCGGCTTATCACAGACGGCGATACCCGCATCCTCACAAAAGATAATGGCGAACCTCGGGCAAAATACTGGAAGCGGGGAAAGAGCATGCGGAAATGAACGTTCTTTACTAATGTCATTACGGACTGAAATAGACGCAGTAGTAGTACTAATGTCATTGAGACTTCTCTACAATCTGCTGCGCCATCTCCATGAGACCTCCAGCCACCACCTCTAATTTCACATCACTAAAAACGTCGAGACAAGCTTCCTTCTCGTACACCGAGCTCCATGCTCCGCGAAAACCGACTTTGGTGGCCGCTGCGACATCCCACATGTGCGCGGCAGCGAACCATTTCACATCGTTTCCTCCAAATCGATTCCACACAGACTCATAGGCGCGGAGAGCGGGTTTAGCCACGCCTAAGTTGTCGCAACTGACGAAATTCTCCAGCGGCATGTCTACACCGGCGCGCTCGAAATAGCCTCTGACTCGTTGTACATCCCCGGTGGTGAAGCACCAGACGGTAAAGCCGTTGTCGCGCAGCAACTGGAACGTCTCCCGACAGCCAGGTCGCAACTGTAAAGCGGAATAGCCTTCGATGCACTGTTCCCGGTCCTCTTCGGTGGCTACAGCCCGAGGATCGGAGACGCCACAAAGGCAAAGGGTACGGTAGAAGAGTCCTCGGAGAATATCCTTGTAAGGCTTGTAGCTTTCGGAGATGGACAAGAATGTGAATTCCAGCTCAGCAGCTGTCTGCCAGGTGTACCCGAAGTGTTGCGCGGTTATGTGGTGCTCGCGGAGTTTTGCACCCAAGACTGAGTCTATGCGTTCGTAGTAGGCGTCGAACGATACGCAGGTGCCGACGACGTCGAACACGACGTGCTTGAGAGGCTGTGTCATTTTGACTGTCGGTGTGGTGTGTGATGACCAAAATCAAGGAGCTCGACAGCGGTTGATGCAAAATATGTCGACTTGGCGTGAGGAGTAAAAGACCTGTGGAGAACAGGCCCCTGCGTCATGCCCATTATTCTCATCTTTTGCTACACTGAGTAACAGTACCTGTGGCTAGTAGAAGGCCGGCCCGGTCGAGGTGACTGCCGCAGCGCTCGGACCAGGTAGTTATCGATCGCGACCGGATCGCGACCGGTTCGCTTACCCGGTTCTCCAGGGCTGCCACTGACACACAGGTACCTAGGTAAGATAACGATGAGCAACGTTTCAGCAGCTTCCGGACCGGTGTCATTGTCTCTCGAGCTCGAACTTTCTAGATCGAAGTTGTAAGCTCGATGGCCGGGCTAATTACGGTACCCGGTCGATTTGCGAAATAGCGGTGATGGACTACGGGTATGAAAGCGTGTACTATGTGGACTGCCGTGCGAAACATGCTCTCTGTCCAGCTGTAGAAAGTAGTCAGTCATTCTCAATTCCTCAACATGGTTCTACCAACTGCCAACCCCACCAAATCCTATTGGATCGAAGCTGCGACGTCGCCGTTGCGCAACTTCCGCTCCAGCGAGGCGTTGCCAGAGGAGACGGATGTGGCAATAATCGGCGGTGGTTATGCCGGCGCGTCGACCGCGTACTGGATCAACAAAGTTCGTGACCGCACCACAATGAGTTGTCCGCTCATTAAGTCTGACGAGTGATTTAGTACACAGAAAATGCTTCCAGGCAGCCTCATGTGACTCTCCTAGAAGCTCGTGACATCTGCGGAGGTGCCACCGGACGCAATGGTGATGGCATTTGCATCTTGCCCCTTGGAGAAATATCTAACAACGAACAGGAGGACAATTGAGGCCGCATGCTTATTCCCGCTATGCGAAATGGTCGAAACGATTTGGCCCCCAGGGTGCCATGGAGCTCATCGAACATGAGATGGCTCATTTGCCGGCATTTAAGAATCTAACTGAGGAAGAAAACATCGCGGAAGAGGTCTGTCTCAAGTTCGGAGAAACATTCGATGCTGCCATGACCGATGAGGCCTGGACGAGGCTCAAGGGCGCACTT